CGGCGGATGGGGCCCACCGGGAGAGGACCAAGGACAAGAAAGGCCTTACCAAGGAAGTGATGCAAACATATTTCAGAATTCCAAGCACCTGTTGCTAGCTCACATTTCTTAAACAAGTACTAGGTACCAGGTCCTCTTACTAGCACCGCTAAGGATTCCTGGAATTGGTATTATCATATATATATATTGCCAACGAGAAAATGGAGGCTCAGGAAGGTTCAATGACTTGCTGAAAAATCACAAAACTTGCAAGTGGCAGGGTTAGGATGTAAATGCAGACACCCTGCCTCAAACTTAAAATATTTTCTGGGTGAAAAGTAGTGAGTTTAGGTGACTTTTAATATTTCCAAAAAAATAGGTGCCAGAGGGGCTGCCCCTTGAATAAGCTATAGTAATTAAGATACTTAACGACAGAGTCATATTTTATCATTTCTTTGTCCAATAACCATTTAAAATTGTTTTTCTTAGGCTTTCAAAACATTATGAATATTTTACATTCCTTTAAGTTTGCCTAATAAAGATTCAAAGACAGCGACACCTTACAGAAAAGCAGCTTTTCCTTTGAGGTGAATCCAGTCTGAGGCCTGGGGAGATTCAGTGTGAGAGTTACAGTTACGTGCATATGGAACAGCTCCACCAGTTAGGGCCACCAGTGACCCTCCTGTGCCACCTAAAGTATTCTTTGTAAGTGTGTCAGAGTATCACCTAAGTCATAAGCAGCAGACGCAGGCAGAAGTTAACGAATTAGTTGTTTCAGTCCAAATGGTCTACTTGGTTGTACTTACCAACAGAAACTATCTTCTAAAGCATCCCAGGTTCAGTTCTTAAAAGTACCCCTGATACTACAAAGTATAGAGAACAAGCTACTAGTATATTTTAGCTAAATGCCTGCACATCTATGAAGCAAGAGAATCTTCTAAAACTTTTATAGAAAACTTTAATGATAACAAATCTTATCAAATAAAGCAAGGTTGTAACAGATTATAAATTATACTTTATTCAAAAAGAGGAAATCACAAGTTATTTCTCCATTAATTTGAGTTAAACATTCAAATGAACTTTTTCATCCTAAAATCATAATCCTCAGATATAGGACTAGGATATTTATTTTTGAAGAGCTTAAGTATTATTGTTTTAACTCATGTTTTCTCTGCCTGGATGTTCCTCTCTTCTCCCCTCATTATACTTTCCTGAATCTCCTCATTGAATCAACTATCCCAGACTTTTTTGCTTCTACTTGGGGATGTTTACATCCTACGAACCACCCAGGACACCAAGTACATGGTAGGTCCTCATAAAAATTTTGTAAAATAGACATTGAATGAGTAGAATTGAAATCTACTCATTGAGTTTTGACCATTGTTTTACCAGGAGCCTCTCCACCAACCCTGAGTCCTGGGCTAAATTAATATTCATCATAGAGGCACTGGCTCTGCCACTGGAGGCAAGAGGTCATAATCCTCACTTCCTCGCCATTGCTAACTAGCCACAGGCTCTGATGAATTATTTACCTCTCCTGACTTTGGTTGCCTTCAGTGTTTATAGTGGGGCTAATAATGCCTTACTTGCCTAGAATCACAAAGCTCATCTGAATAATTTTATAGGGTCTTTTCTAACTTCAAACTATGGCAGATCTTTGACTAAATCATACCTTTCTTAGTCCCATACAAGCAACACAGTTTGGAAAAAACACAGAACTTCATATCAAGGTGCTGTGAAAAAGATATGCGATAATGGACTGACAATAATCACCTGATTTAAGTGAATGAAATATGTTGCATTGCTAATCCTTAGTTATTAGTACAGTTAATACTCCTGTCTACTTATGAAGAACTTCTAATACTCTGTTTCTTACCTTTTGACTTCCTGTCGCGGTATGACCGGCCTCGATGATGAGGGGTGTCCAAATATAGATTCTCAAGATCTTCTTGCCAGGACTCAGGACTGAAGTGCTTGAGCAGATCTTCCACCGTATCAAATTGTGCAATTGTTTTATCCAGAGCGTCCGCAGTGAGAGTGGTGTCAGTTACTGATGGAGAGTGATAGGAGACCCCCTAAGAGTGACATACAGCTCAGTGTACTCAGAAAAAGTCCATTGCTGTGAAATATAATAGTCATACAACTACACGGAAGGAAGATAAACAAGTCTGGGTTTATAAGACATCATGTGTGTAAATATCATGCTACAGTACTATTTTTAAACAAGCACAAATAATTGGTAAATGATAAACATTCACTTGTTTTTTGCAAATCCAAACCAGGCAGATTACAAAACTTGCACTTGGTCTGAATTTTAATCATTAAACAAGAATGGGCTAGATGGAAATATTAAAATTAAGTCATCCAATTTCTTGGTTCAATGTCCCACATCCATAGCCATATCAACAACTAATGGTGAGCAATTACATTTTGAATTCCTTCCACGCAAGTTTTGCATATCTGTCCCATTCTCCCAGGCTTAGCCTCTGTGTCCCCTCTTTACAGGTCACCTAGCATTGCAGGTGTTGTGTGAGCAGAGTTTGCATCTACTCTAGAGACATCTTGACAAAATGTGGCACTTTAATTGGCTTATTTACTGTCAACAAGGATAATTAACCAGGAAACTGGCTCTCTTGACTTCAGAGTGGAAGATTCACGTGGGAAGCAAATGTATTTTTTTAAGTGCTGCAGCTTGCTAGTGATCCTAGGTGCCATTAAAATATGGTCAGGAATACTTTTTTAAATGGTAATACACATCACTGAGAGTCTGGAAGGGATTATGTATTTTTCCCTGAAACATATCTCCCCATAAGTTTCCAAGCACTTACTTCACTAACCCTTCACTAATCTAGAGGTAAATGAGCCATGATTCAAACATCTCTGTAGAAATTCATGACCCATTAACAAGGAAATAGAGAGCATGTGGTCTCCAATGGTTTCTAAATGTCTTTAAAGAAACTGCCAAACAAATAAGATCCCCCCAAGGGCAAATATCTTCTATTACTACAAGAAAATGGAAATTAATGAAAACTTGTGTTCCTGAAACTTAACTGCAGTATCCTATTGAGAATTAATATGCACCATAGAGTCAGAAACAGTAAAGCCCACATTTATAGTCTCACTCTCGGGTAATGTTTTCTCTTTTTAACCAATCAAGGGCCAAAGGTCTGTAAGCGATTCAATGATCACTTGTTATGACAGGAATAGTTGCTCTTAAACGAAACGAAGTGTGTAAAAGCATTAACCTACCACTGGTGCATGTGAGCAGTTTTCAAATATACCCTGGGAAAAGTGAGTGTGTGTTCTTGGCTGGGAAACATGAGATAGATGAGTGAAGGTGTCAGGCTAGCTCCATACACTAGGTGTGTGCGCGCGCGCGCGCGCGTGTGTGTGTGTGTGTGTGTGTGTCTATGCTGAACCCTAACTGAAGTACCTCATTTTTGTCTTTCACATTCCTCTTGGCATCATTACTAGAGGTGGATAATACTTTGATTCAGTCCCAAAATTCCAAATTCCCATTCAAATTGTATTGTCTGGAGAATCTACTGTCTACCTGGCTCATAGTCACCGGATGATTTACAATTAGTCCTGTATCACACTAATGTGGGTCTAAATCCAGAAAACCAAATAAGCTGGCCAGTGTTAGGTGCATGGGCAGCATATAAAAGCTTTGAAATTAAAATGCTTCCTGGGCTTTTAAAATAAAAGCAGGGATATCCATCAAGTCATTACCACCCAAACAAAAGCTTCTTACAATGACTCTGGGGAACTCCTGCAAGGTGCTGCTGGGAAGTGGAGTGTACCCAGATAACTCATCAAGAAAAAGGTGTGTGTGTGGGGAGTGGGGAATGGGTGGGAGAGGTCTCAGTCCCAGGAGGAGAAGGGAATGAATAATGTATTTTAACGTTCGTCTGAAGAGCAAACCCAACACACAGATAAAATGTGACACCACCCTTATGTGTGAGCTTTAGTGCCTTTTTCAAATGTTGTCTCAGGACAATGGACAGAAACACAGATGATGGTAAAGAAAATGTTTATGACTGCCTACATGACCTAAGAAACCCATGAGAACATTTTTGTTAGGTAATTATTTAAAACCTATTTTTGAGAGAAATAACTATTTGGATGTGCCTCCTTCAACTCCACGTTTTGATCTCATTCAGCCTTTGTTATATGTTTACAAAAACAAATTCTAAACCTAACTGAATTACTTTAAAATGATAATTTGTACAAAAATAAAAAAAAAATGCTCTGAGAATTGTTAATCACTTTTGTTGACCACTTTCACCAAAAACAAAGTATGGTTTGTACAGAAGTTACTGGAAGGTTCAGAGGCCCTGCTTGTAATCCAGAAGTTCTTGAAAACCAGAATGCTGGTGGAAGAAGCCACGTCTATTTGGTCTTCCTAGAGGACTAATCAGAACCTGGATTTGGACCCAACCTGAAGACTTCGCGGTTGATGTGGACTCAGGGCTGAGGTTCCACAGATATTCCAAATGGACGGCATGATCTCTCATTAAGAGAACTGGGATTATCCCGAGTTAGTATTGGGTCCTTTAATGAGAAGCTGGAGGATGTCTTGACAGAACAGCATGTTAGGTCTTGGTTGCAAGGCCGCCTCTGGAATCTACTTTGAACTGTCAGTCTCAGGCTGCTAGCTGCCCAAGCCTCCTGGCTAGCCCCCAGCTCTGCATTTTACCTGCCTTATTTTCATCTTCACCTGCCTGACAATGACTGCTTACTTAGCTGCGTTCAGAGCATGCATTTTGGGCTGTCAAAGCCAAACAGATAAAACACTCTAATATCACTCTCAGAGGCCTCACTGATCTCCGGCTTGGTTGTTCCAGTCCAGCAGCCATGGCAGGCAAATCTAATCCTCCCAGAATCCAGAGCTGAGGAAATCCTGCCATCTGAGGCAATTTTAAAATTTTTTTCAAAGAGCAAAAGATAGCATATCACTTTGGGGAGGGGAGGATCAACTCCAGTGACTCAGCCACACCGACCCACTTTAGAACCATGAACAAGCTTTCTCCAATCTCCTGACCTTTCAGTGAGCAGTTGCATTTGTTATCTTGTATTTTATTGCTACATAAGTGCTACCCATAGACTTGGTGAAAACAAGGTCTGTTCTTTCTGTGCAAAGTAGATAAGAAGACAGAATACTGAGAAATGACTAAATTTGGAGAAAAAAATTGGGGCATGAACCATTTTATGGTTCTAGTATGAGTGATGTTTTATTTCCAAGTCAAATAGAACACATGCCTGGTTTGCACTTAAGTTATCTCACTGTAAACATTGGAATTTTTTCACGTCTGAAAAGATCTTTGACAATGCAAAGGTTAAGAGCTTCCCCAGAATAGTCAAAAAACGATTTCAAAATTCCCCACTGGAGCGTGGGCCGTGGACCAGTTTGATATGTATGAGGTATGTGCACAGTCCTTTGGTTGGAATGTTCTGCTTTGAAACTGATAAATGCTTAAGCCATTGTCTATTCCATGCTCCCATAATGAGCACTGGCATTTCCTGAGAACTGTCTGAGAGAGGGGAGAAGGGCATCTGGCAGCGCCACTGTAACCTACATGAAAGAGAAGAGCACACCATGCTTGAGATCTGGCTTGTGGTCAAGTCATAGGCCCTGAAGACCGCTGACGTCGCTCCGGGTTGACCTTAGCTACTCCATCAGTTTTTTTCACTGGCAACAGAAAAATAAATTACTTACTGAGACAGAGCTTGTGACCGACTCCCAGTTGGTCTCCGAGGCTTCTGCGGGTTGGAAATCTTCCTAGAAGGCAAAGAAACATCCATATGAGTCAATCATTCCTCCGTTCAATTCATTACATGCACGGTTTCAACATCTCAGCCATCTGAATCTTCTCCCAACTCAGTGACAACAGGAACAGGGGCTGCATCACCACTGAACAGGTCACCATTTGTCTCCAGCACCTCTCCTCAAGGCACAACTGCAGTCACATTTACTTATAGGCACTGGTGAGATGGGAAATGTGCTGACAGGAGTTCAGATTTTAATTCAGTCATGTACTGCCTGTGACACCAGGTAATCTACTTAACCTCTCCAATCCTTCTCTTCCTCATCTGTAAAAGGCTGGTATGTGGTCCTTAAATTGCAAGGTTGTTTTGAGAATTGACTCTATTGATTATTATGTAGTTATAACTGATACTTAATAAAGCACTCAAAGAGCAATACTAATTATTATCAGTATTAATATTTATTTGGTTCTATCATATTCAACCCTAATGATGAGCTACATTATAATATCAGTGATCTTTTCAAAGATCAGTTAACTGTTTCTATCAATTCCTGATTCTATCAAGAAATTCCAGGAAGAATAGAGAGGGAAGAAAATAACTGTTGGAGTGACAAAGTAGTAACCACTCAAGGAAAAAAGGTAAAGGACAGACTTGAGAAAATTATTTATCTCAAGAAGCCATAAAGGATATGTGATAGCAATGGACCTACGAGAAAGAAACTTATCTGCTAAGGCAAACTTCTCTCCACTTTGTGACTTTTCATTTTAATTACTCTAGCACCAGCAAGTTAAACAATAAACTATTAGCCAAATGTTCTTTCCAACCCACCAATTAGTGATATATATCATTCTATAATGTACTCAAAGTGTGGAAGATATATTTCTAAGCATAAATGCAAAAGTCAAAAACATAAAAATCGATACACCTCATATGTGCAAAATGTTGTACAAATCCCAAAATATCAAAAACAAAATTGAGCATAATGACACCAGCAAACACACTTGTAACATATTTAACAGTTAGCATTTTTAAAATAAAATGAACTCATAAATCGAAAGTTCATATAGAGGATGTTCCACATCATATAATTTTGCTAGAAAAAGGTACAGATATCTGATTGAAATAGGACTAAAAACAATCACACAGTCCAATTAGCATGGCTCAGTGGTTGAGTGTCCACCTATGAACCAGGAGGTCATGCTTTAATTCCAGTTAGGGCACAGGTTTCAGCTCAATCACCAGTATGGGGTATACAGGAGGCAGTGTAGGAAGCAGCCCAGATCAATGATTCTCTCTCATCATTGAGGTTTCTCTCTCTCTCTCCCTCTCCTTTCCTTAATAAAAATATATTTTCAAAAACATTCACACAAATATTGACATTGTTGGCAATGAGTTATTATTTTTCTTTTCTATTGTGAAAATTAATAAAGGCAACCTCAACCAAGAAGGGCCTGTGGAGGGAGCTATCATGCCCTGCCCCTCATTCCTGGTTGCCCGGAACAGGAAGAGAAGTTCTGTGCAACTCCAACAGGAAAATGTTTTCTATTCTACAATACTACCCCAGGAGAAGGAATGAAGATTTTTTCTTCCCATGGCAACAGCCCAGCCAATAACAGAGTGGCACAGTCTGTCTAATGAAAAGCCATTATAATCCAAGCTCCCAGTTACCCTCTGGACTCTTTCTTCATAACAGCTCTTCCCAAATTCCTCTTTTTGCTGTTCCCAGATCTCACAGCGAATGGCTGTTCAGTTTTATCCTAGGTGATTATGCTCTATATGAGTAGATGAGCCATAAACTGTTCATTGCTCACAGGGCTGTATTCCACATCTCTCAAAACTTATGCAGTTACTTGAGTTTTTAAAAAGCTTTCAACCAAAACAATCTAACTCACTAAGGATGACTTATTTGGGGAAAGCTTTAAAAGACATTTGTCAGAGTATTTTCCCTAATTTTGAAAAAAAAATTCTGTTTGCTGTTTTATATTTATTTCTCAGAAAATAAAGTAAATTCTCTCCTACTTTTACCTGTGCTTCTTGACTGAGTTAATGCTTTTTGAAATGCATAAAAACATAGTGGGATTTCTCAAAGTTCATAAAACAATAACAAGCAAATGCACTATCAATATTTATTCTTTCAGTGAATTCTTCAGGTGTGCATGACACTCTGTGGTGTTCATGACTCACTGAGGGAAACTTAAGTAATGCTAAACTACAGGCCTGTGCCCTGAGATCACTCTATGGGGGAAATCCTTTAGAGCAGTGGTTCTCAACCTTGGCTGCACATTGGAATCACCTGGGAATCTTGTTAAAATCCTGATTTCTCGGCCTCATCAGTAGTAGCAAAAAAACAGAATTTCCGGAGGATGAGGCCAAGAAATCAGGATTTTAACAAGATTCCCAGGTGATTCTAATGTGCAGCACATGAACTTCTGGAATGCTGTCCAAGAAATGTACATAAAATAATAATACACTTATGTCCTAATGTTTATAGCAGTGGTTCTCAACCTTCTGGCCCTTTAAATACAGTTCCTCATGTTGTGACCCAACCATAAAATTATTTTCATTGCTACCTCATAACTGTAATGTTGCTACTGTTATGAATCGTAATGTAAATATCTGATATCCAGGATGGTCTTAGGCAACCCCTGTGAAAGGGTCGTTCGACCGCCAAAGGGGTCGCGACCCACAGGTTGAGAACTGCTGGTTTATAGGAACAGAATAAAGCAGAAATTGAAAACCCTTAGGATCAATCAAACTCTGTGATTCAACCAAACCTTTAGAAGTATATTTCATTACATGCTTATCATCAAATCAGCTCTTTTTCATGTAATATGGAAAAGACCTGGCCTGGAGACCAGCTTTTATTGGCAACAACATTTAATACAAAGATATCAAGAGTTCAAGAATCAATAATTAACAAGAATCAAAGAGCATCTTTCCAAGTTAGAGAATTTGTCTGTGAAATTTAATAACAGATATTCTTAGAGCTGTAAGAAGCCCTGTACATGAGTCATCTATTAATGGAAATAAACTTTTAATAAAATATAAACCACATCTTTATAACAAATATCCTCATAGATAAGACATGCCTTCAGATTTCCACTGGTTGAAGAGTTAATTTTACGATGTTTTCATTTATCATTGTAGACAATAAAGTACAATTTTTTAATTGAGAACTTCTAGAATTCATCACCTAATAATCCATGTAATTTTGATGCTAATGTGAAAATATTTTTCAAAAGTTCATTTTATTTCTTATATTATGAGACAAGGAACTTTTAATATGTGTGAGTTTCAGATTTCCTCAGATAGAAAGAACTTAGTCTGGGAGGTTGTTCTCAATAGGATAAGCAAAGATTAGAGCAAACATCAGTCTAATGGGAAAAGAAGAAAGTCCCTCCAGGGAGTTTATCAACTAGGAGGATGTCATGTAAGCCATGTCTGCGAGCTAGAGAAGAATAAAGGTGTGTGTGCAGATAGAAAGGGGTTTTATTCAATTTGGAAAAGGATGAGCAACCTGCAATTATTGCTTGTGTACTAAGACTTGAGGAAAACAATGAGAGAAGAGATGGATGGTCAAGAAGGTTGATTAAAACCCGTGTTTACCAAACAAGATGCACAGAAAACTGCACATTACAAAATATAACTTTCCTAATAGCTTTCATTGTGTTTGATGCAGACCAAATGATAAAAGAATATTTAATTTACATCTCCAAAAATACGGCCAGAGGTCTCTCTATGATGTGTTGTTGAGAAGATAAGTGTAGATTTAAAACCTGCGAACAGCTTTTGTAAACACATCGAGGTTTAGTATTAAGAAAATGCGATGATTATTTTGTAGTGACAGCTGCCTTTTATGGAGCATAGATAATGTGCCAGGCTCTATTTGAAACCCTTTTGGTACAATATCTCATCATCATTTCTGCAGCTTTAAGATATGGCAGAGCAGAGAGTCGGGATGCTTAAGCAACTTGCCCATGGAAGCAAGCCTGGTTAGTAAGAAGCTCCACACATATCTGAGCCTGAGGCTGACTCTCTATGATCTTTCATCTCCACTGCATTCCTCCTCCTCTTATTTATAAAGATTCCTTTTATAAGATAAACAAACATCTTTGATTTGTGCTAAGTATAGTTTTCATACATTCCTTAAATGCATTTCAAAAGAACATTTGGTTCGGTTCACCAGTAGCCTGAAAGTTATTGAAGATTGTACTTTTGATACTGCTAAACTAATCTTAAAAACTGTTTACACTCCCAAGCTAAAATGGATAGCTGAGGAAATTATTTTGTTACCTAAGGAAAACTGCAAGTTTAAAACAAAAAGAAGAAATATTGAATTGAATCATTCATATTTTCATCCCGTGAATTTAGCACAATGCTTGGTACATAGTGAGCTCTCTATGTTTTGTTTTGTTGTTGTTGTTGTTGAAGGAGGAAATACTGTTTTGTACTCTAAATTCAACAAACGATTTCATTTTCATTGGATAACTCTGTACAGAAATTCACTCTTTTTTTTTTTAATTGATTTTTTTACAGAGAGGAAGGGAGAGGGATAGAGATCCAGAAACATCGATGAGAGAGAAACATTGATCAGCTGCCTCCTGCACACTCCTCACTGGGGATGTGCCCGCAACCAAGGTACATGCCCTTGACCGGAATTGAACCCAGGACCCTTGAGTCCGCAGGCCAATGCTCTATCCACTGAGCCAAACCGGTCAGGGCAAAATTAACACTCTTAAGTACTGCTAAGTTTCTCTATACTTGAATGGCATCATATCATTGGATTATCTTCATCGTAGCCAAAAGCTAGCATATTATTAAAACAAATACTAGAGAAAAATGGAAATTATAAACACTATGAAGATTAAGACCAGCTCACCTAAATCCCTTAGCTAAAATAATTTCCTCTGTGAATACAAATGATTCCATCGCTAATTTCCTACATCTGATATTAAGGAGAAAATACCATTTGAAGTCCAATAGACAAAGCAATAGTCATACTACCAGGGAAAA